CACAAGAAGTCTATTTCCATTCCGTCATTTGCAATTCTTTGGAGTTCAAGAACACGACAGTCAACGGCGACCTGAGGTATTTCGTGTGGGACGATCCGCCCAAGATGGAGCCCCACATCCTGGGGCCAACAGACTACGACAACATGGTTCAAAGCGGCGCGGCTTTCGCCCGACGGTTTGAGGGAGACGGCCCGGTTCTGGACATGATTGATCAGAGAATCCTCAACCGTAGCCGGAACCGCGTGGCCCCCGGTGCGTGGTGCGCGGGCCGGAGCACGTGGTTGGTGGACCCGTGTTCGCAATGGGGCGATGTCAATGTCGTTGAGGCGGGACCCGGAGCGAAAAGACTCGGAGCTTCCGTGGATAAGCTCCTCGAGGACTGGCAATCGCAGACGAATCAATGTAAATGACCCCAGACCCCACTTTTTTGTGGGGTCGTATGATTTGTAGGGTCATTTTGACAGAAATGACCCTACAAATCACAGACGTGTGAAGAACCCAGTGGCTAGACCGCCACTAGGGTTCGGAAATCGGAATACTTTCGGGTAGAGGTGTGACATTTTGTAGAGGAATTTTCTCATCAAGTGGTCACTCACTCACTTGGTGTTTGCTATAGGGGCACAAACGGAACAAAAATTGGAAGCCATTTTTATGTGGTGTCCTCTCCTTTAAGCAAGAATGGGAAAGAGCCTCTCAATGTACTTGTACTGTATATTTGTGAATGCTCAGACATCATTATACTTCAAATCAAATTTATATTTTCCATTTTCAGATGTTTTAAAATACATTTTGTGTTTTTTGTTAAACTTTTAATTTTAGGAAATAAACACTCGTATGTAGACAATTTTAATTCCTTCTTTATAAATTTTAATCGCACATTTTCCATTGTCTCAAGACATATTTTTTTCAATATTAGTTTTCAAATATTAACAATAGAAACTAATTTTTTAAAGAAATGTTTTCCTTCCTACCAAACAACGGAAAACATGATTGGAAAACTATTTAAGGAACAATTCACAATTAGTCCAAAATCATATTAAAATATTTTAGAAACAATTCACAATTAGCCTAAAATCAATCAAATATCACAAATCAGTCCAAAATTATATATTTAAGGAACAATTCACAATTAACTCTCAAATTATATTAAAATCTAAGTTAATTATTTGCATTTAAGTTTTTATTCTTAATTATTTGGAACTATTCTTTGGGATCGTTATTTTGCATACTTCTTTCATCCAAAATGTAAGCTACACTCCACTATTCAAAAATTACGAAAACTTTTATTTGTTTTTTTATTTTTATTGATTATTTGTTAAAATAAAATATTAATGTAACCATTTGTTTTATAAAACTTTTGACGTACTTTTTAAAATATTAATGTAACCACCCGTTGATTGGGTGGGAGATCTTTTAGTGTAGGTGGAGGGACTAGGTTGACAGCTCTAGGTTGATAGGGCAGAACAGTAATTAAATTTTGGATAGTGATGAATGAACTATTCTCTCCCTCTCATTAAAAAAATATAAATTAATTTTGTTTATTTCTATAAAAAAATAAAGATATTTTGTTACAGTGTAGTAAAATATCCCTGTTGTAAAATAAATTTTCCACTTTCATTTTACAAAATATTAAAAACGGAGTATTAGAAAGAGATTAAATATGGAAAATTTTTAATATTAGCACTTTAAATGATTTTTTAAACATTCCGAATCTATTGAGACTATTATAGTAAGACCGGCTCACACTGCTCCTATGGAGGACCTACCATACTCTCTTTGATAAAAAAAGGATTATGCTATGTGTACCTCAAGTTTTGTACCCCGCAGTTTTGCACCAACATTTTGTGTTGGTGTAAAACTAATTTTTGTTAAACGCACCAACATTTGTGTCCGTGTGAATTTTTATTAACGCACCAACACTTGTGTCGGTGTAAACCATCGAAATGTTTGTGCAAACCTGTGGTGTACAAATGAGGTATATTTTTTGGTGTAAGTGTAGCATGGTCCTAAAAAAAATAAGAGTAAAACGCAGAGAAATAATGAAAATAGAAGTAACATGTTCTTTTATTCTTTGGTCATTTCTATCCATGTAATCTCCTGTCCTCTACCTTATTTTTGGCATTTGGCAATAATAAATTAGACACTAACATGTACTCCGTGTTAGTATTAGGTCATGTTCTCTTCGCTGATTGGTTTTGATCTAATTAGAATAAGTTCTCATCTTATCTGGGTTGATCTGATTTAAATAAAGTTATATTTAAAGCTATTTCGTATCTGATTTGCTCTGATTCCAATAAAAATAAGTAATAATTAAAAAAATAAGTTGAAGAGAACATGACTTTATTAATTCTTTTAAATAATAAAGTGAAGCGCTAAAATTGTTACTATTATATATGGAGTATTTTTTTACCATTCAAAAACATTTCATCTGTTCTTAAAGTATATTGTCTCAGTAATTATTCTTTCTTTCCAATATTTTTTGTTTATTTTTGTGGTTTTATTAATTATTTAATAAAATAGAATATTTTTGTTATATATTATTTTAAAATACTTTTTTATATTTTTTATTTCTATATAAAAGATTTTAAAAAATGATGATTTACACGCTCTTCTAAGTGATACAATATTATGAATATCGGGTTATTTTTAAACTACTCCTTCTGTCTCAAATTACTCGTCTCACTTTTTATTTTAGTCGAACCTTAAATAATTATCTTATTTTTTTATCTTCTTAATAAAATAAAGGATATGTGATCCACCATCTTTTCCTTTCTTTTAAATAAAATTCATCCACTAACTTTTTATTTTTAATCACATTTCATGATATTTATTTCAATAATGAAGAAAATGAAAACCTTTTTTTAAAATGAAAAAGTTATTTCAAGGGCATGGGGAAGCTACAGAGTTGGACAGATAAAAGTCGGCCTGTCAAGTCGCTGTGTTTTACTTTAATTCTCTCTCTCTCTCTCTCATACTCTTTACTCCACAGTTTTTAACGTTAAATCAAATCACATTTCATCAGTGCTTTCGCAGGGCACCCCTCAACCCCACCCAAAAAAAACAAAAATGATATTTTTGAATTAAATTGGACAAATTAAATATTTCTGATTTACGGAGTATATTCCATAAGTTTAACTCAAAAACTGAACAAATACACAATGACAGATGGAGTATAAAATATTGTGTTGTAAAAATATATTATTATACCAAATGATCACTAAAAATAAACAAATAAATAAAACTCATCAAAAAGTTGAAATAATGGTTGGGACGATATTTTTGAGAGGCAAATTATTGGACGTAAGGTGTTAAGGTCTATGCTCATTTTAGAGACTTCAGTGTGCATTTGTAATATTAAAGAAGTGAGCTTAAGGTCTATGCTCATTCGTGGTAATAAACTCTGAGGTTACATTCCGTCTATTTGACCGTTTTGATTGAGAAAGTTTTGTTAGTTTGATAAATACTAAATTTTAAATTGATAATCATTATTTTATTAATTTTAAATAAAATTCTTCAAATTGTCAAAGTAAAAGAACTTTTAATCTAATGCTTAAATCAAGAAAATATACTCTTTAAGGATAATTTCACAAATTTTAAGAACTCCAAATATACTCGCTCCGTTTAACAATAAAATTCACAGTTACTATTACAAGTTCTCAATAACTTATGTTTGTTTGCATAATTTCATCAATCATTTGATAAGATAAAATATTCTGGTTTCATCTTGTTTTATAAGTAGAATTTTTTATGTAGTTTTGATTTTTGAAGAATGTAATATGTAATTTTTTATGATATACCAATTTATAAATCAGAGGGAGTATTTCGGATAATGTGGGACATGAAAGTTTTTATCAAAAAAATCGATGGTATCCTTGGGTATATTTCGAATAATGTGGGACATGAGAGTTTTTATATAAAAAATAGATAGTATCCCTGAGTATATTTTAAATAATGTGGAACCTAAGTGTTATTACTGGAAAATGGAAGGTACTCGGATATAATTTTTTTGCCAAATGGCTACATGAATTTCAAAGGGGTGAGAGGGGGTAGGGGGGTAGGGGAGAAATCAGGAAGATCAGACGATGGATCATTAATTTTTTGAACGGAATACCATATTTACTTCAAACAAACTCCACCGTAAAATATACCAAGTATTAAAAAGTGATTTACAATGACAAGTAAAAAAGGAAAAAATTTACCATAAAAAATGAAGTAATGAAGTGAAACAATTGATTTAGAACAAAATAAGTGAAAGATGTTAAGGGCAGTGGGTATACCCATAACGCTGACCGGCGTTATGCCAGTTTTCACGCCCCGGGAGCGTTAAACACCGCCCCCCGACGGTGTTACCCGAGCGTTACTTGGTGTGTGTCAAACGAATGACGCAACGTCATTCGTCTCCCCCTCCCCCCTAACGGCTCTTTGAGCCGTTGCACCCCCCAATTCAAAAAAAAAAATTATTATAAATTCAATCACCCCTTTCCCAATATCTCACACCATCTCCATCTTCAATCTCTTCTTCTTCCCAATTTTTAAATTTCAAAATTCAAACCCCCCTCCCAATTTTCAACATGAATCCTTCCGGCTCCGGCTTCTTTCCCGACAATCTCGCGTCCGTCGACGCCGCGATGTGGTATTACCAAGAGTTGGGCGATCGACCGCCGATGTACGAGACGCATCAATCGGGGTACGTCGACCGAGATTCGGTTCCGGAGACTCAATCGGAACCGTCCGGGTCAAAAAAAGTACACGCCAGAAAAGCCACAAAGCCAAAAGCACGTTGATCGAGGCGGCACGGTCAATCCAAAAGTAGACGCCGGAGGAGGAGTGCATATTGGCGTCGGCTTGGGTTGACGTCTCCGAGCATCCTATCATTGGTAAAAAATTTATTTTTTCTAACATATTTATGTTTTTATTTATATATATTATATTTAATGGTGTCTAAAAAAATTGTGTAATACATTTTTAAAGGTACGGAGCAAATGAAGGATGCGATGTGAGATCGTATCGAGGAGAAGTTATTCACAGCGATGAAGAAGGACGGCTCCTACCAAACCCGGGACCAACTCACTTCCAAATGGAGCCACATCAACAAAAAAGTCCGAAAGTTTATCGGAGTTTACGAGGAATGCTCCCGGTCCCGGAGGAGCGGCACGAACGACGCCGATGTTCTCCGGCTTGCCACGACCCGATATCAAGATGACGGGCACCAAGGCAAGGTGCCCATCGATCTTTGGAGGATTTTGAGTCATCCCTCGAAGTGGCAACAACTCAACAATCACGACGGCGGAACGTTCCGGAAAAGATCCACCGTCGACGCCGTGGTTGAGGTCGACGAGACTATCGGTTCTACCGATCAAATCCCTCCCTTCAAGGTTGCGGATTCCGATGACGAGGACCCCATTCAACGGCCGATCGGAAGAAAGAAGGCAAAATCCATTGCCTTTTGTTCGGGAGGGTCCGCCTCTGTTTCCGCTTCTTCCCGCGACGAAATCGGCTGGGCAATGGTTGAACAACTTCGGACGTTCAATCTCCAAGAACAAGAGAGGTTGAAGCTAAAGGAGAAGGAGTTGAAGCGAAAGTAGCAGGAGACCGAGATGAAAGTCATGCAAACCGACCCCGGGACGTTGCCGGAATTTGGACTAATGATCTACGAGCAAAGAATGAGAGAGATTAAGGACAAATATAATTTACCTTAGTTTTTTATTAATGTATCTTTTTTTAAATTATTGTCGCTTTTTTTATTTAATTAATGTATTTTTTTATTATTCGTGTTTCAATTTAATTAAATAATAAATTAATTACATTTTATTAATTTAATTTTAGAAGATGTATATTTAAAAATGTAAAAAAATGAAGGTTTGAAGCCCCAGTTTGAAGCCCTAGGGCTTCAAACCCATTTCCAGTAAATTTTGAGTGTAAGTTAAAGCTGACGTGACAGAAAGAGAAAGTTTGAAGCTCCCATTTGAAGCGTCTCGCTTCAAACTTATTTCGAGTGCAAAGGACAACAAAAATCACTAATTGCCCCTATACCAATTTTTTTTCTTTCCCCTTCGCCAGCAATTTCACTGCACATTTACTCTCAACTCTCACCTTTCTCAGGCTTTAATTGCTCTTTGAGTTCTTCCCTTTTCATGTAAGTCTTTTGTGGGTTTTCTCCCCTCTTTGTCCTCTGCATTTATTTATTCAAACTTGCACTGCCTTTTAGGCATTGGCAATTTTGAACCCCCACCCCCACGTGCTTTCTTGTTTCTTTCTAGCAAAAACCCCAAATTTTTTTGAATGAAAGATGGAATCTTTGCTGTCTTGAGACGTTGAAATCAAAACGTTGTGTGGCCCCACCAGCCTATAAATTCAGATGAAGTCTTCTTTTGCCTTGCATTCTATGTTTGGTGTAGTGTTTGTTTGATTTGGAATTGGAATTGGAATTTGAAAATTTTATTAAAATCGATCCCCCCCCCTTCTCTCCCCCTTTTGAAGCAGTGATCTTTGAATTTACTCCAAACAGAGCTCAGGAAAATGACTAAAGATGAAGACTTTAAGCTTCTCAAGATCCAGGTTGTGTCTTCAAAAAGCCCTACCTTTTTTGTATTTGTTTTCTTGAGTTAGCACTATATTTTGTCTTTCTTTAAAATAAAGATGTGTTCTTTAAAATAATAAAAAAGAACTTTTTAATTTTTTTTAGAGTTTTAATTTTTTTAAAATTTTGCTTTCAATTTTTTATGCAGACATGTGTGCTGAGAGTGAACATTCATTGTGATGGGTGTAAGCAGAAAGTGAAGAAGATTCTACAGAGAATTGAAGGTCCCAAATCACTTTTCTTTGTGCTTAAATTCTTTCTGTTTGTTTATGTCTTTCTACATAGTTGTCCCCAATTCCCATGGACCAATTTGCCATCCACTTTCTCTTTACTTGAAGTTTGACTTGTCTCTAGTGCTTTGCAGCCCTACTTCTCTGAATTCTTGAATGCTACAGTATATAAGCATGCAAGGTGGTCAAAGGCTTTAATGTTAGGTTTCATTGGTAATTCATATGAGTTGGTCTTTTGAGATGCATGGGTTTTATGTATTTCAAGGGTGGGGGTGTGTAGCACGGTCCCTTGTTTGAAGGAAAATGCTAAAAACCCTCCACCCTTCCTACCAATCATGCCCCTCTACATAAACATGTGGTAGGGAGGCAAGAAAATTAAAATTGGACCTTGCTACACACCCCATCCTTGCTACTAATCTTGCCTCCACCCACTTTTCCACCACATATTTATCTCTACTCATTCTCTACCCACCCTCTAATTTTAATTTTCTTGCCTCCCTACCACATGTTTATGTAGGGGGCATGGTTGGTAGCAAGGGTGGGGGTTTTTAGCATTTTCCAATTAAAATTAGAGAGTGTGTAGAGAATGGGTAGAGATAAATATGTGGTGGAGAAGTGGGTGGAGGCAAGGTTGGTAGCAAGGGTGTGTAGCACGGTCCTTTTTTGAATTAAAAAATTGAATCTTTTTATGAGACTCTCAAGAAGTTGGTGTTCTGGGTAATAATGCCAACACTATGCCATACAACCTTAACCTTTTCTTGACCTTTGTTGCAAATTGTCACTTTAAAAATATATACATACATGAATCAATAGAGTACAGATCTTTTGACACAGCTCCATTTGAGATCTCTACGGTGCTTCATTTGACCAAATAATTTGTCAATAGATTGTCTCCCACGAGGGACTAGGGGGGTCTGTGGGTGGGTGGGGGGGAGTTAGGAACCACTTCGACGTCGAATGGAGAACCAACTTGTTTATGCGAAGATGCTATCATTGCAATGTCTGTTACTCATTTTGGAGAGTTTTAGATAACCCTTAGTTTTGTGTAAAAAAACCAGGAGTTTACCAAGTGAGCATAGACAATGAGCTGCAGAAAGTGACAGTGTGTGGGAGTGTAGAAGCAGCTAAACTGATCAAGAAACTGGTGAGCTCTGGTAAGCATGCTGAGCTATGGTCCAACCAAAAGCCCAACCAAAACCAGAAGCAAAAGCCCAACAACAATCCAAGTCAGCCCAACAACCCCACTCCCAACCAGAACAACAACAACAGTAAGGCCCAAAAGCATCAACAGCAGCAGAATCTGATGAAGCATCTTGAAGCTCTCAAGAACCAGCAGCAGCAGAACCCCAAGCTCCCATTCATGGCAGGTTTGGATGAGATGCTGTATGGTGGGAATCATGAAGTAGGAGAAGAGCATGGGGAAGAAGAGATTAACCTTCTCAGGCAACAGGCTGCCCAACAGATTGCTTTGTTTCAGCAACAAAGAGCTCAGCTTGACAATGCAAAGAAGAGTCTTGCTGCTCTTGACAATGGTGGGAATCTGGTCACTAAAAAGCAGAACATGGGCCATAATCCAGGAGGGATTGATGAGAAAACAATGGCTGCTTTGAGGATGAGTCTTGCTGAAGGAGGGAAGATGGTGGGCAATGGAAATGACATAAATGCCATGATGAATCTTGCAGGGTTCCATGTCAACAATGGTGGGGGCAACAATGGAAATCACCACCAACATCTCGCTGCACTCATGGCAGCTCAAGCAAACCACCAGAATCACCACCATCAGGTCCCATACCAGCAGAACACAATGGCACAAGGGCAAAATGGTCATTTCCCAGGACACCATGGTGGGTATCATCACCCTTCATCAATGATGATGTACAACAGGTCCCCTTTCATCCCTCCATCCACTGGCTACCACCCTCACCACCACTACTACTACTACAATAACTATGGTCAAAGTCAACCATACCCCACCTATGTGGACCCCAACCACCACCTCTACCCCACTCATGATCAGTCTGCTTCAACCATGGTCAGTGATGAGAACTCAAGCAGCTGCTCAATCATGTGAGGTTAATGTTATTAGTAATTACTCTTAACTACCCTTTTGGGGGATCTGTGTAAAGACTTTGGATTAGGTGTCTTAATGGTGCATTGTGAATTGTTTTGTTATCAACAATGTGAGAATGGAGAAATGGTCTTTTAAAAAGAGGGCTCTTCCATGGAGCACTCTCTTTGTTTTTGTGAAAAAAAGAAGAGGCTAATATGTTAGTTTTGTCATGCACTTTTTGATCCCTTTTCACTCTAATTCCTTGGGGGGTAAAAGTAAAATATGCAAATATCTTAGAGGGTTTTTGATAATAAATTTGAGTTTCTAATTCGCTTTAATTTTTACAGAGTAGATTTTGACTTCAGAAATGTAAATTGAGCTATAAAAATATTTTTTTCAACAACGTTACATGTAGATATTTTTATGTTTCTCACTTGTTCTCGCCATTCACTTTTAAGTAACTATTATGGAGTATAATTCTTGTGATATATATTAAAAGTTGAGTGAATATAATTATATCTTATGTCTATGTTTATTTACTCCCTATATTTCATTATGACAATAAAATCATAATAGGAAATTAGGAGGAAAAATGGGAAATGAGTTGTTTGGATGGTCATTGGTTTGGGAGAGATGCACCAAATGGACTAATGGAGTATTTGTATTTGCCATCCAAAAAGTTACATTAAAACATCCCATTCCCAGCTATAAACCGCTGGCCAAACGTCGGCGCCACGTTCTTGACAAAGTTTGGTTCTTTTCTACAAATCCCAATTCCCAAGCGCCCTTTAAGAGCATCACTAATGGCATAATGCCGTTTTCCGTCCCCAAAACGTCACTAGTCGAATACTTGGAGGCGTCCCCATACCCAAATCCTTTATAAATTTTAAAACAATTTGGCGTTTCACGCTCCCGACCATGTCCCCGTATGAGTCTCTGTCCCCGTCTCAGTGCAACTTAGGAGAAAGTGAGTGGTGGAATTGAGAGGGGAATATAACGCTTTTGGAGAGAGAAGTTACTTGATTGGATACAAGTGCCACGTGGATTTATTTTTTGTGTTTTTTTTCTACTTTTTTTCACGTTTTCTACTCCCTCCGTCCCTAGTTTGATTACAAATTGGGAGTTATGGGACAAAATTTTTCGTATTTTAAATCATTTTATTTACAACTTGGTATATCAATAAGAAATAAAAATTATATATTAACAAATTGCGTCAAAAGTTGTACAAAATGAGAGACGACAAAAATATTTTATTTTATCAAATACTCAATGAAAACACACAAATAAACAAAAGTTATTGAGAAAAGAAGGAAAAAATTTGCAATATATTTCGGACGGATGGAGTACATTTTTTCATTTGTTCATATGCATTGCTTTTCTGTTTTTTTCGTTTAGAGCTTTTGATGGTTTTTTTTCGTTTGTAGCTTTTGTTAGAGTGTCATCCCACATTCGAAGTTCAAGAGCCAAATAATCGGTATATAAGCTCTTGAGTTAAACTAACTAATCGATTAGATTCAATCTTTTAATGTTGTTCAGCCCAAGTGTCTTATAGCCCAATCCAGTTTTCCATACACATCCTAAATTCTACCATGGTATCGGAGCCTTGATGACCAAGAGGTCACGAGTTCGAAATTTACCGCCACCCAGTTTAAAAAAATTAAGGTTTCACGTGCAAGGCTCAATAAAGACTACGCCTGCACGTGAGGGGGCATGTTAGAATATAAATAACTGTTTCTGGACCACAACCACAAACTTGAGCTTATGGTTGAGTTGGTTCCTTGACATGATATCAGGGCCTTGATGACCAAGAGGTCACGAGAGACCAATAGTTGGTTCCTTGACAGCTTTTAATGGTTCTTCTTTTGTTTTTTTGCCAGATGCCGATTTTTTTAATTTTATTCTTTTATTCAACAAAATGGTGCAAAAAAAACTAAAAAAATTATGTAGCAACAAAATGGATCAATATACAAATAAGATGGTGCAAAAAATTTAAAATTTAAAAAAAAACTTATGAAATGACTAGCTTTATCCTTGTGAAATTTGTATAGATTTATTTGACTCAATGAACTGAACAGAATAAAAATATAAAAAAAAACTTAAAAAGTGATATATTTTAATATAATATTGTGAGCTTATTGGTGTCTCATTTTCCATAACAATTATATTCAAGTTGACATTTCTTGTTATTAACTTTTTAAATAATAATATTCATTTGTAACTAGAAATTACTTCATGTATTCTTTTTTAACTACCCGGTTTACTTCTCGAACATAATGTTTAGATAATTTATTATAATAGGACTAAAACATAATGACTTTCTCAATATATGACTATATGTTTTTATTTCCCAATTTTGGACCATTGATCATTATCTATTAGTCATTACTCATTATTCAACTAAACGTCCAGCATCACTTAGATATTATTCTTCTAACTAGTCATTAATAAGTCATATTTAAGAAATAAAAAAGTTTAAGTCCTACATTGAGAAACGACTTATGTTTTAGTCATATTCAGTGTAAATTTCGATACCAATAACTTTTATACTCCGTATTTTAATTCGTTATATATTTTTGTACTCCCTCCGTTTCGAAATTGATTACAATATCTTTTAGCCTACATCTAGATAACTTTTGTTTGTTTGTGTATTCTAATTGACTATTTGATAAAATAAAATATTATTGTCACAACTTGTTTTGTAGAACTTTCAATATAGTGTTTTTTAATTTGTAAATTTTATTAACTATTATTATACCAATTTTTAAATAAATTAATTTTAAAAATGTGAGATTTTGTCCTGAGAAATTGTAATCTAATTTGGGAGAGTGATTGAGTTTATCTTTTTCTCTCTTATTTAACATTTAATGTTTTTTGTTGTCTATTTCATACTCCATATTTATTACTCTCCATTCAAGCTAAATATTTGAGTAATTATATATAAGGATATACAATAAATTAAAATATATAAATTATACCAAATTATTGGTATCGAAATATACTTTTATTCTATTTTTTTAAATAATTTTTCATTAATATATTTTAAGAGATAATTTTGCTCAAATAATAGATTTGGGGGAAAAATGAACAGTTAAAAAAAAGAGTGAATGGAGCAATCAAGAATAGAATATTTTCTTTAGATAGAGTGCACGCATAGTGATGAAACATGTCTTTTGATATATGGCGATGGGAATGGTTGAGTAAAAAGTCCTCTACATCCTAGTGGTACCACTTCTCTCCAAAATATTTGTCACATTTGCTTTTTCAGTTGTCGTGAAAATTTTTGTTATTTTTACGTTTTCATTGGTTATTTGATAAAATAATATATTCTCGACACCGATTATTTCGAAGAACTTTTCATGTAGTTTTTTTATATATAAATTTTATTTTTTATTTCTATATCAATATATAAATAAAATGAATTGAAAAAACTTGATACTTTACCTCGGGAATACAAATCTGACGAATATTTAGAAACGGAGAAAGTATTTTGTCGGTTCTAGCGTATTTGTCTGATTTAAGTTTTTCAAATGTGAGATTTACGTAAATAGTATTAAAACATAGTGGCTTTTCCAATGTAGAATTATATGTTTTTATTTTCTAATGTAGTACCACTACTTATTATTCACGGATCATTATTCAAGTAAATGTCTACCGCCACTGGACATATTGTTCAAACTAAATGTCTACCGTTACTAGACATTATTCCCGTCATTTCCAATGTAGTACTTAATTTTTTTCACACTAGATAACAAAACAACAACAACAACCAAGTTGAATCCCACTACAGTAGGGTCTGGTGAGGGTGTGTGTACGCAGACCTTGCCTCCCTACTTTCGAGTAGGGGCAAGGTCTGCGTACACACACCCTCTCCAGATCCTAATGTAGTCGGATTAAACTGGGTTGTTGTTGTTTTGTTATCTACTCGAAAAAAATTTAAGTACTACATTGGAAAATGACATATATTTTGGCACTATTTAGTGCAAATTTCACCTTTTCAAATTAATCTGGATAAATTCAAACTTCAATTAAATAAAATATATATTATATATTGTTATAAAAAAGATTTTATTAAATTTATCTTGTTGATAACTTTCAAAATTTGGTTTTATTATATCGAGTAAATACAAATTGAGAGTAATTGAAGCTCAAAATTTATTCAGTTTGATTTTAAGAAGATAAATTGAACAAATACACTAGACGGAGATAGCAGTATCCAATGTGTAGCTGGAATGTTATTGAACAAATGCGAGTGGGTGTTGTGCACTTAGCAAAAGTAGGAGATATCAATGGGGTAAAACTCAATTTTGATTTTTGATAACTGCGCTGAGAGACGACTATGTTAATTATATAATTTTTGCAAGCACCTAGGGCATGCTCCGCTCTTTACCACCGAACCGCGATCAAAGTATAATTTACCTTTACTCAATAACACTTCGGCGGAGTCTGAGAGAGTCTTCGGAGATGAGTCTCATCATATTTTTGTTAGTGAGTAATAAATGACATGAGTTTGAAATTAAAAAACTTGGAGACAAACTTCACAAACTTACTATTTGTGTATTTAAGTTTTTATAATCAAAATTTTCACAAACTTACTCTTTATTGTTTAGGTTTTTATTTTAAAATTATTTTAAACTACTTAATTTTTTTATTAAAGTTAACAAATACTCCATAGTAAATTCGTGAAATTTGTGACCATTGTGTTTGTAAACCAAACATTTCTTCTAAAAAAGGTTTTTAAGAGACTTGTAGTTAATGTGATAATATATGAATATCTTAATACTTAATCTTGTCAAAATATTAGTCAAGTTTTGATTTTTTTGCGGTCAATCAAGATCGATGACTTTTGATTTATAACTAAATGAATATTACATGTTATATTAATTGAATAAAACAACAATTTGAAAATTTATACTACAAGATAAATTTAATAAATTAATTAAATATTATTTTTAAAGGAAAAAAATATTATGTTTAAAGGAAAAGAATATTATTTTGACATACCAAATGAGACAAGTTTAATCAAAGAAAATAAAATAAACACACTTTTTAAAAAACTTTTCTTTACAACTTTATCTTAGCTAAATGCCAACTGTTGCATTTCTCTTTTTCAACATTTCAAGTTTCTTCACTCGTTTCCGTCAATTTCGCAATCATATTTCACCCCAAATTGTGTTTGTCCTTTTAAATTAGGAAATGAATAATCCTTATACTTGTCTAGTTGTCTTCAAACTTTTTTTTAACATTAATAATTCTAAATAATCATCCCAAGATTTATATATATTCTATGGATCTTAATGCCCTGAAATGATCAAATAATGGTGCCTTTTACAAAAAATTTACAAAAAAAGAAAAGATCTATTTACAAGTCTCATTAAAACTGTAAGAATATATTCACATTTCACATGTAGACCTTATGATCATAAAAGAATAAGTCATAACTCTATTATAATGTACAATCTATTTATATAATCTTAACTTATTAAGCACGTAAAGTTTTTTCTTCACTACAAATCGAATCTCTAAGCTCCCATAATAGAGAGTGAGTAGCACTTCAAGTACATTCATTGTATAGCTCGAGCCTAAAAAACAATCAATCATGTTATGTATATCTCAAAGATTATATCTCAAAATGTACATCAAAAGTTTATATTTATATTTTGATGACTTACATTGACATAAAATATCAATGCAATTATAAAATTTTACATTGTTATTTTGTGTCGTTGTAAACTATCAATATCACACTTATATTGACACAAATTGTAAGTCTAGATTTTTAAGATAGATTTTGGAATACAGTCACTGGGGTACAAGTAATTTTATCTAAAAAATAATAATGCAGGGGTTCATGTGACATTAAACTCCAATGCCTTACTATGACAAGGGCTTCAATTTGGATCACTACGAAGTTCTGTTTGAAAAATTGACGGTTCGTATCTCACCTAACTCCCCCCTCGGTAAAAGCCCCACTCCAGTTTGACCCAAAAAGATTTCTCCACCCCTTCGATTGCATTCCCCAATTTTAATTGACCGTATAATCAAATTCTTTGAAAGTCAGCTAAAATCGGGAAGTGCAATTGAAGGAGTGGAGAGGTTGATTTGGGTTAGACCGGAGTAGGGGAGGTTTATTAGAGTGTTAGGTGGTGATGGGTGTATTTCACCCACAACCGGTCAAAGGGCTGGATTAGATAGTCGACCGGTCAAAGAAGTCGAACTCGAAAGGGAGATCTGAATCGTCAGCAAAGGGGTGGCTGGTTGACCAGAAAGTTGACCGGTACACTTCGGGTTAGTATACCGGTCAAACTACTCCATTGCCTAGATCCGTCCTCTGAAATTAGCCAAACCAACCCTCGAAGATCACCCGGTCTAGTTTCCGAAGATCGGAGAGCGTCGGCAGGAAGAATCCAAAAGAGGCTTGGATTGTAGTGGTTGGCGTTGCAGAGATGCTGGAGGAATATTTCCAAGCCAGAACGTGACAAGGAGGGTAATCCCCCTCGCAAGACGACAGGGCAGCTCAGAGCCAGTCACTTCACACCACGCCAGCAGCATACCCCCACGTGGGCGCACGTGGTCCTGCTCCCCAGCCTAGTATATATACCTCTTGTAACCCTCGAATGAGGGGATCCGAATTCATTCTCTCTAAACTCCCTTGTAAAAGCACCCGTGCATTCTCCGTTATAATATAAATTGGGCTACAGGTGTTCCACCTAAAGTCCTACCGGTCAATCTGCGCGTTTTTACCTTTCTTACTTTGCCAAATAAAGCAAACTATTCTAGACCCGGTCTAGTATAGTTTGACCGGTCAAGTAATTTACACCATCATTTTTGGCGCCGACCGTGGGACCGTTAAGGTTTCTTCTCCTAAACACAAACCTACCCACCAAAACACCACTCGAAATGTCTTCCAGTCAACAAATCAACGCTACTTCCGCACAGGTGCAAGCCACCAATGAGGGCGCCAGCATCCCTGTGGCTGCTACCATACCGGTCATTTCAGCCCCGGTGCTGCCTCTGGGCCTGAGCTCTGTCCTGACGGCCAGCGTGATCAGTCCCTTCGCGACCCCCATCCCTTCCGCTGGACCCAGGGTCACGTTCCCACCAAGCATGGCTCAGTTCATGAATGACCCAGCCAACCTACAAGCCATCCAGGGCTTTGGCCAGGTCATGGCCATGTGCCAACAGAACGGGGGGATGCCTTTCCTCCCTGGTATGTTTCCATTCGCCGTTCCAGGCGCGGGGACCATGCCTCTACAAGCTCCGATGGCGGTGACGTCGTTCCAGACGCCGATGCCGCAACCATCACCTTTCCAGCCCCAGCTGGTCAGCACCATGGCCCCGGTCAACTTGGCCGGTGCACTTAACGCTGCAGGGCCGTCGCATCCCCCGCAAGCTACGGATCCACATGTCACTCCTGATGGTCATTGCGTCTCGATTGAGAGCGATGACGGCGAGTGGGACATCCCGAGGGCCCACAAGAAAAAGAAAGGAAAAAACATCCGGCCAGCGACCTCCCGAAACTCCGCCTTCGAAAGGCTGGGGGATAGGGAGGAAGGCCAGAGGAAGTCAGCCAAGCAGAGGCTGGGGCAGAGTGTTGCCCATGTCAGCGCATTCGCCCGGCTAGGCGAGGTGCGGGAGGCCGAGCCTGCCCGCACCCGGCGCTCCCGGTCTAACCGGCAGGAGCCAGCGAGGACGAGGGCCTCCCACCAGGAAGGGGAGGCAGAAAGCCAGCCCAGGTTACCGGTGGCGAACCGGTTAACCATCCCAAACGACCGCGTCCAGCAGATGGAGGCAAAGCTGGAAAGGCTGGAAAAGAAGGTCGGGGAGAAGAATGACCGGGACAAACCCCTGGCAGGGTCCCCGTTCACCACAAGGGTCCATCTGACACCTTTCCCGCGAAAGGTCAAGATCGACGCCCCCAGATTCACCGGGAAGGAAGATCCGGA